TCCGAATTGAAGTACACAGTAGAAAGTTTCCAAAGTAGGATAGATGAAGCGGAGGATAGGATTAGTGAGTTGGAGGACAAGGTAGAAAGCATCTCACAGAAAGAGCAAGAAAATGAAAAGAGGCTCAGAAAGAATGAAGAGGGATTAAGAGAAATGCAAGACAATATGAAACGTAATAATATCCAAATAATAGGAATACCAGAAGGAGAAGAAGAAGAACAAGGGATAGAAAACGTATTTGAATGAGTAATGAGAGAAAATTTTCCTAATTTGATAAGAGAAAAAGTCTCACAAATCCAGGAATCACAAAGAGTCCCAACCAAGAGGAACCCAAGGAGGCCCACCTCAAGACACATCATCATCAAAATGGCAAAATTCCAAGACAAAGAGAGAATCTTAAAGGCAGCAAGGGAGAAAAAAGAAATAACATACAAGGGAGCCCCAATAAGGTTAGCTACCGACTTCTCAATGGAAATACTTCAAGCAAGAAGAGAATGGCAAGAAATATTTCAAGTAATGAGAACCAGAGGCCTACAAGCAAGGCTACTTTACCCAGCAAGGCTCTCAATCAAGATAGATGGCCAAATAAAGAGCTTCCAAGACAAAAGAAGTCTAAAAGAATATGCCTCCACCAAACCAGCTCTACAAGAAATACTAAAAGGACTGCTTTAAGGGAAGGAAGGATAAGAGGGAGATAGAGAGGAACACAGGTACAAAAATGGCAATGAATAAGTACCTATTAATAATAACCTTAAATGTAAATGGATTAAATTCTCCAATCAAAAGACACAGAATAGCTCAATGGATAAGAAAGCATGACCCACACATATGCTGCCTACAAGAGACTCACCTCAGGACAAAAGACCATCACAGACTAAAAGTGAAAGGCTGGAAACAAGTTTTCCAAGCAAACGGACAAGAAAAAAAGCTGGGGTAGCAATTCTCATATCAGACAAAATAGACTTCAAAAAAAAGGCTATAAAGAGAGACCCAGAAGGTCACTTCATTATACTCAAGGGAAGAATCCACCAAGAAGACATTAACATTGTAAACATATATGCACCAAACATAGGGGCACCCAAATATATCAAGAAAATCTTAGAGGACTTCAAGAAAGATATTGACAGCAACACAATTATAGTAGGGGATTTGAACACCCCACTATCAAAAATGGACAGATCTTCCAAACAAATTATCAACAAAGATATTGTGGCATTAAACAACACTCTAGATGAAATGGACTTAACTGATATATATAGAGCCCTTCATCCCAAAGAAGCTAAATACACATTCTTTTCAAATGCACATGGAACATTTTCAAAGATAGACCACATGATAGGACACAAAACGAGCCTCAAAAAATTGAAGAATATTGAAATCATACCAAGCATCTTCTCTGACCACAAGGGACTGAAATTAGAAACCGACCCCAAAGAAAAAAACCCAAAGCACCCCAAAACATGGAGACTGAATGGTATGCTATTAAACAACGAATGGGTCAAGAATGAAATTAGGGAAGAAATCAAAACATTTCTGGAAACAAATGAAAATGATCTCACAACAACCCAAAACTTATGGGACACAGTGAAGGCAGTCCTGAGAGGGAAGTTTATAGCAATACAGGCCTACCTAAAGAAAATAGAAACATTTCAAGCAAACAACCTAACCCTACGCCTGCAAGAACTCGAGGAACAACAACAAAGACAGCCCAGAGCAAGCAGAAGGAAGGAAATAACCAAGATTAGAGCAGAATTAAATGACATAGAAACTAAAAGCACAATTTTAAGGATCAATGAATCCAGGAGTTGGTTCTTTGAGAAGATAAACAAAATAGACAAGCCTTTAAGTAGGCTCATCAAGAAAAGAAGAGAGAGGACACAAATAAACACAATCAGAAATGAAAGAGGAGAGATTAAAACTGATACCACAGAAATAGAAGGGATTGTAAGAAATGACTATGAAGAACTGTATGCCAAGAAATTTGAAAACCTAGGGGAAATGGACACATTTCTAGAAAAATACAATCTTCCAAAACTCAGTGAAAAAGAAGCAGAAAATCTAAATACACCAATAACAGCAAAAGAAATTGAAGCAGTAATCAAAAAACTCCCATCACACAAAAGCCCCGGACCAGATGGTTTCACAGGAGAATTCTACAAGGCATTTAAGGAAGAGCTAACCCCTATTCTCCACAGACTATTTCAAAAAATCCAGAAGGATGGAAAACTCCCAAATTCTTTTTATGAAGCCAGCATCATCTTAATTCCAAAACCAGACAGAGACACAACAAAGAAAGAAAACTTCAGGCCAATATCGCTGATGAACATAGATGCTAAAATCCTCAACAAAATATTGGCAAATCGCATCCAACAATATATCAAAAAGATCATACACCATGATCAAGTAGGATTCATCCCAGGGATGCAAGGATGGTTCAATATTCACAAATCAGTAAATGTAATACATCACATAAACAAAAGCAAAGACAAAAATCACATGATCATATCAATAGATGCGGAAAAAGCTTTCGATAAGGTACAACACCCATTTATGATAAAAACACTCAGCAAAGTGGGAATACAGGGAGCATTTCTCAAAATAATAAAGGCCATATATGAGAGACCTACAGCCAATATCATACTCAATGGGAAAAAACCAAAAGCTTTTCCACTAAGATCAGGAACAAGACAAGGTTGTCCACTTTCACCACTTCTATTCAATATAGTATTGGAAGTTTTAGCCACAGCGATCAGGCAAGAAAAGGAAATAAAAGGCATCCAAATAGGAAAGGAGGAAGCAAAACTGTCACTGTTTGCAGATGACATGATAGTGTACATGGAAAATCCTATAGACTCTACCCAAAAACTCCTCAAACTAATTAATGAGTTTGGCAAAACAGCTGGTTACAAAGTCAATATCCAGAAATCAAAGGCATTTTTATATATGAACAATGAATCAGCAGAAGCAGAAATCAAGGAAAAAATCCCATTTGATATAGCAAAAAGAAAAATAAAATATCTGGGAATAAACCTAACTAAGGAGGTAAAAAACCTGTATGCAGAAAACTACACAGCCCTGAAGAACGAAATCAAGGAAGACACAAACAAATGGAAACATATACCGTGTTCATGGATTGGAAGAATTAACATCATCAAAATGTCCATACTACCCAAAGCAATTTACATATTTAATGCAATACCTACTAAAGTACCAATGGCATATTTCACAGACATAGAACAAACACTTCAAAAATTTATATGGAACCATAAACAACCCCAAATAGCAGCTGCAATTTTGAGAAAGAAGAGCAAAGTAGGAGGGATCACAATACCTGTTACCAAACTGTATAACAAGACCGCTGTAATCAAAACAGCCTGGTACTGGCATAAAAACAGGCACATGGACCAAAGGAACAGAACAAAAAGCCCAGAAATAAATCCAAGTCTCTATGGACAATTAATATTCGACTAAGTGAGCAGCAACATGAAACTGGAGTAAAAATAGCCTCTTCAACAAATGGTGCTGGGAGAACTGGACAGCTACATGCAAAAAAAAAAATGAAACTCAAGCACCAACTTACACCATACACCAAAATAAATTCAAGGTGGATAAAAGATCTAAATATAAACCATGATACCATTAAAATTCCAGAGGAGAACATAGGCAGGAAATCTCAGATATTTCATGCAGCAGCATTTTTATTGATATGTCCCCTACAGCAAGGGACATTAAAAAAGAATAAACAAATGGAATGTCATTAAAATAAAAAGCTTCTGCATGGCAAAAAGAAAGCAGTATTAAAATAAAAAGAGAACCAACTGTATGAAAAAACATATTTGAAAATGATACCTCAGATGAGGGTTTAATCTCCAAAATATATAAATAACTCACACAACTCCACTCTAAGAAGACAAGCAAACCAAGAAGACAAGCCAATTGAAAAATGGACAAAAGACTTGAACAGATACTTCTCCAAGGAGGACATGCAGAGGACCCAGAGACACATGAAAACATGCTCATATTGCAAGCTATCAGAAAGATGCAAATTAAAACCACAAACAGAAACCACTTTACACCAGTCAGAATGGCCATCATAAACAAAGCAACAAACAAATGTTGGAGAGGTTGTGGAGAAGAGAGGACTCTAATCCATTGTTGGTGGGATTGCAGACTGGTATAACAACTGTGGAAAGCAGTTTGGAATTTCTCAGAGAACTAAAAATGGAGCTGCCTTTGACCCAGCAATTCCACTGCTAGGATTATATCCTAAGAACCCTGAAACACCAATTCTAAAGAACCTATGCACCCCAATGTTCATAGTAGCACCATTTACAATAGCCAAGAGTTGGAAGCAACCTAGGTGCCCATCAGTAAATGAATGGATCAAAAAACTATGGCACATTTACACAATTGAATTCTGTGATGTAAAAAGAAAGAAGGAGCTCCTACCCTTTGCAACAGCATGGATGAAAATGGAAAGCATTATGCTAGGCAAAATGAGCTAGGTGGTGAAAGACAAATACTATATGATCTCACCTTTAACAGGAACCTAAACAACAAAACAAAGGAAAAGGGGTAGGGTTTACAGGAATAATTATGAAGGGCACATGGACAAAAACTGGGGGGGGGGGTGAAATGAGAAGGAGGTTGGAGGAATGGGTGAGTGGGCTAGGATGGGAATAAAAGACAGAAAGCTATACTTGAACGACAATTAAAAAAATTTTAAAGCCTAAATTTAAAAATTAAACATTACTAACTTGCATAAGAATTCATTATACAGCAATACACCCATGTTCTAACACTTTCTTGGTCACCTTGAAACTAACCTTCTTAAAAAATTGTTGTTCGAGTACATTTTTCTGCCTTTTACTCCCATCCCAGCCCACTGCCCCCAGCCCTCCTCACCTTCCTTCCATTTCCACCCCCCCACACTTGTTTTTGTCCATGTGTTCTTTATACTTGTTCCTGCAAACCTTTCTCCTTTTCCCCTGAAATTCCTTCCCCTCTCCTCTCTGGTCACTGTCAGACTGTTCTCTATTTCAGAGTCTTTGATTATATATTGCTTCTTTGTTTGTTTTGTTGATTAGGTGTTTTCAACATACAACACAGTAGCTTCTGCTAGGAGACAGGTTTGTGTACAGGATTCAGGTGCTTGGGAGGCAATGTGTACTCGCTGCACACAAGTACACAGCTGAGTCTCCAGGCTGGGTGTTTTCGATGTGCAGGGAGAAATTTTTGGCTGTCTTATCCAATAAAACAGTAAGTCTGTCATGCCGCTTTTCATTCTCATTTGAACGAATGTGTATAATGAGCTGGGGACCTTTTCCAGCGTCTTGCTTATACCATGGAAAGTAGTTTGAAGCACTGTCTGAATAAGAACAGGTGATGACAGAGGTCTTTCCCTCCTGGACACTCAGGGTAGGAGAATGCTGATTCACTTCCTCTCCATGGCTGACACCTATGCAGCAAGAAAAATTCAGAAAAAGGAGAAGAGTGAACAGATTTTTATGCTTCAGAATTTTCTTTCTCTACAGTAACTAAGGAAACCCAAATAAAGCTTGGTTTCTAAAGAATATCCACTAATACTATCTATTTCCCATTAACCCTCAACTCACAGTCCAGCTGCAGCCAAAAGGACACAAGGAATGCTCCAATGGATGTCTTCATTCTTCTTATTGAGATCAATTGTGGACCTGCTACCTACAGCCAGGGGACCTACTGCTGTTATCGAGTTATCTCTTTTCCTCTAACAATCTGAAAATAAGGGTTTCTCACATTCTCTCCCCAGCCAATAAGGTAAAGACTGTGCTTATGTCAAAGCCTATTCATTCAGAACCACTAAAATGAACCCTCCACATATTCTGCATCAGCAGAGGTACACTACCACCTTGTGGTCACATCTCTTAACTCGTGAACTTGCTGGTTAAATGTAATTTTACCCTTTGCCTATGAGAGACTCAGACACATAAAGACAGCAATACATCAAACAAATGAACTCTTAGATCAGAGATTAATAAAGAATGCACAGATCAATATTTATCTGATTTCTGCAATACGCCTCTGTACACAACTGAGTCATGTTTAGTATTTTGGAAAGATGCAGATGCTGTTGGCACTCACTCAACAAGGGCCTGAGTTTACATGTTTTAAACCAGCAAAGTGCCATGATTCACTCTCATACACAAAGAAAGTATAAAACCTTCCTTTCCAAGCTGTGGTACATATACAGAATGAATTACTACTCAGCCATGGAAAGGAAAGAACTCTTACTGTTTACAATGGCATGGGTGGACCTAGCAGGTATTATGCTAAGTGAAATAAAGTATACAAAGAAAGACAAATACCATGTGATTTCACTTACATGTGGAATCTAGCCCTGGTTTGTGTGGTTCAGTGGATTGAGCACCAGCCTGTGAAAAAGAACATTGCTGGTTTGAGTCCAAGTCAGGGTACATGACTGTGTTGTGGGCCAGGTCCCCTGTTGGGGTGGAGAGGCAGTACAAAAGGCAACCGACTGATATATCTTTCACACAGCAATGTTTTTCTCCCTCTCTTTCTCCCTTCCCAAATCTCTAAAAATAAATAAATCTTCTTTTAAAAAGTCTTACAGATGTAGATTACAGCATGGAGAATATACTCAATATATCATAAGAGCTATATATGGGGCCAGGTGGGTACTTGAAGAAGCATGGGGACCATTCTGTAAAGTACATGATGTCTAACCACTTTGCTATACTTCTGAAACTAACAGAAAATACTATTGAATGAAAACTGTAAATGAAATTTTTTAAAATAAAAAATTAGGTAAAACCTTTTTTTTTTTAGCTAAACCTTACTAGTCTGCTATGAACAAGGCTCTTTCTCAAAGTAATACAGAAGTAAAAGATCAGAGTATGAAGAAGACTGTTGGATATTTCAAACACCAATGTCAAACCCTGCTCCTATAAGATGCTCTTGCCTGTGACCTGGCTATTCCCAAAGAATAGACAGTACCAAAGTGGAAATTAGGAATTTTTCCTAGGCTTGACTGTGATTAAAAGTAAAGAATCGCATCTCCATGGTAAGGAGCATGCGGATATCTTCCATGAGCTATTAGTATTTCAACCGTAGAAAACTATTTGACCCACAGGTCAGGTTGAATTACTGTGAGAAATCTGATATACTCTAAGAAATTTTTTCTAATGCTGTGTCTTATATTCCTCAAAGTATTGAAAAAGTGCATTTTTCAGAGGCAATATCAGGCTACAGATCCAGAGAATAAAACCACACATAAGTTTATTCTTAAGGTAGTTTCATTTTCTCATCAAGATAGATGGCAGTCCCTAAAATGCAATTACTGACTCATATCATCAGTGGAACTTTTCTACAGTATAAGCCAACTCTCCCAGAATGGATTCCTGCCTCCCTAGCATTGATGTCTTAGATCTCATAATCTATCACTTTTCTCCCAAACTCCACTACCATGTTCTTTCCTCAAGACATTGATGAAGTTTTTCAGACCTGTGAGTTTCCAGAGTTATCTTTCTTTACCAATAATCCTTTCTCATTCTCTTTAATTTCTTGATTTTTGATCACCTATGTAAGAATAAATCTAGGTATGCCTAAATATTTTCTGTATTTGCTCCAAGAATAGTACAAGCAGGACCTGACCCTAAAGAACAGATCATGAGAAATGGTTCCTAGGAAACCACTACCTCATTTCCAGAAGTGAGAGCTCCTTTTCTGTGATTTGAACTCTCTGGACCAACAGAATTACAAAGAATAGATCTAATCTCTCACATCTCACTCCCTTAAAAGATTGAAAGACAGCTATGGTGAAGAATATCAACTTAGTATATAAGTATATGTGTATCTGTAAAATGTGTGTTTTTAAGTATGTGAAATTTCTGGATATTTAAAAAATATACGTTATTGACTATGCTATTACAGTTGTCCCAATTTTTTCTTCCCTTTATTCTCCCCCACCCTGCAGTGCCCCACCCTCCAGCATTCCCCACCTTAGTTAGGGTCCATAAACTGTACATGTAAGATCTTTGGTTTCTCTGTTTCTATTTTTTAGAGTGTTTCTTATACTATTCTTAACCTTCCCCTGTCTATTTTATGCCTACAAATTGTTTCTTATTCCCTGTGACTTTTTCACCCCCATTTTTCCCTCCCCTCATTTATAATCCTCCACATGATCTTCATTTCTGTAACTTTGTTCTCATTCTAGTTGTTTTCCTTTTTGTTTCGGGTTTTTAGGTTCAGTTGTTGATAGTTATGAGTTTGTTGTCATTTTATTGTTCATGGTTTTTTATCTTCTATTTCTTAGATAAGTTACTTTAACATTTCATATAATAAAAGTTTGGTGATGATGAACTCCTTTAACTTGATCTTATCTGAGAAGCACTTTATCTGCCCTTCTATTCTAAATGATAGCGTTGCTGAACAGAATAATCTTGAATGTAGGTCCTTGCCTTTCATAACTTTGAATACTTCTTTCCAGCCCCTTCTTACCTTCAAGTTTTCTTTTGAGAAATCAGCTGATAGTCTGATGGGAACTCCTTCATAGGTAACTGTCTCCTTTTCTCTTGATGCTTTTAAGATTCTCTTTTTATCTTTAATTTTGGGTAACTTAATGATGATGTGCCTTGGTGTGTTCCTCCTTGGGTCCAATTTCTTTGGAACTCTATGAGCTTCCTGGACTTCCTGGAAGTCTATTTCCTTCCCCTCCTTCACTAGTTCAAATGAGGTTTCAATTACTTGCTTTTCTTCTTTTTCTGGCACCTCTATGATTTAGATGTTGAAGTGCTTAAAGTTCTTCCAGAGGTGTCTAAGCCTCTCTCCTCATTTCTCTGAATTCTTGTTTCTTTGTTCTCTTCTCATTGGATATTTATTTCTTCCCTTTGTTCCACTCCTTCACATGAGTCCTGGTTTTCTTCCCTTCATTGTTGTTTCCCTGCACATTTTCTTCTACTTCACTTTGTATAGCCTTCATTTCTTCCTTCACTTTGCAACTTAGCTCTATCAGTTCTGTAACCATCCTGATTACCAGTGTTCTGAACTATGCATCAGACAGGTTGTCCATCTCCTCTTTGCTTAGTTGTTTGAAGTTTTCATCTGTTCTTTCATTTTGGGCCATATTTTTTGTCTCAGAGCACATGTTAAGTTGTAAGGGGTAGAGCCTTAGGTATTCACAGGGCAGGGGAACCCTCTTGGCTGTCTTGGTTCTGTCTGTCAGGGACAGGACAGAGAAGGAACAGTGCTGCTTGCTTCCTCTGCTCTAGGCCAACTTTCCAATGAACTCTCCTGTGAGACTGGAGGTTCCTCCTGCTTTCACAGCCTCCACAGTATTTCACCACCAGAGGCTTTCAGTCTTTAGTTTCTTATTCAGCCAACCCCTCCACACCTGCACAGCATGCCATCTTATTGCAGGTCCTCTCCACCCACCTGGCTGCCCCTCTCTGCCCCCACCTACCAGTCTAGATTAATGTTTCTTTAACTCCTTGGTTGTCAGAGTTCCGTGCAGTTTGCCATTCTGGAAATCCTGTCTGTTCATTATTTTTGGATTGGTTGTTATTCTTCTTTTGGTTGTGTAAGGAGGTGAAGTGTTTCTACCTATGCCTCCATGTTGGACAGAATATCTTTTGATCAAAGTTCTGGTTTGAGGGTCTTCCATTCTCTGTCCATTCTCCATTCAGATAAGAGAATATTACCTGAATATTCTCCATTCAGATAAGACCTTCTGAAATCTTTCTTTGGGCACATTTCCCTCTTTTTGAAGACAGATACTTAATTAAATATTTGCACTTTTGATATATATGACATGCATATTGTATAAAAACCAATGTTTCACTTATTAACTACAGCACAAATATAGCTGTGCCTTGGACAAAATTGTCAGCTATATGATTCACTCATAAAATACTGTGTCACCTGTCATCAAAATGGTGGCCTGAAAACATTAATCTGCCCTCTTCAAGGACTGCCAGCTGTGTGAATCTTCAAATTCCAATGATCATTTTTGCTGATAATATGTGAATTATGCTCATTATACTTATATCCTGTGTTCAAGCAATGTCCACCTGGGAAAATGAACATATTAGCTGCTTCCAAGAAAGTCTAGAGAGATACATCTGTGTGTTCAGAATGGTACCATCACCCTTAGCTTCCTCTTACAGAAGCCAGAGAGTAATGGACTGGTTGGCTGGTTGAATAACAGTGGCTCAGCCTGAGTCTTCTTTCCTGCTCAAGATCTGAAACTATTTCACAAAATGGAAATCTCTACTCCAGGGATCAAATGGTTGACCATGGTGTCCCAGACCTGAACTGTGAGGCCTAAGTGGTTGTACTTGCATTACAGGTTTCTCTTTGCTTAGAAATATGGTCCTGCAAGAAGGAAGCAGGGAAAAGAAATATTGCTTAAGAGTAATAAGGTAGTCCAGTTTTTTCTTACTCTCAGATAACTTGTTATCTAATTGTTCTATACTGAAATCTTGAATTTAGTTTCTGTCTTTGTAAAATAAAGTTGGACGAATAGATATTTAAGGGCTCTTGAAATTATAAAATTATTTTCATGCTATTTAGCAAATGGATGTTAATTGAGGATGAGTTGTACACAATGTAGAGTGGTGTGTGGGTGTTGAGAAATTGTCCTGCATCATGGAACCCCTTGACCATTTTTACATCCATGTGCAATCTAGTGGGTCTGAGGTTTCCCCTACCCGACCCCAGGGCCTCCTCAGTA